AGCTCTACACCTTGTTATCTCTAGTTCTGGTATCATTCTGGTCAATCTTTGATCTACCCTTTCCAGTTCCTTCACAGACATTTTATAGTATGTGGAACAAGACGATACCTGTTGAGAATGAACCAAGGTGCTAAATGAATGTACCGTTTTTTACAATAAAGGGACGGCCTGTGTCACGGAATTAAATTCTCTCTCCTGTCTCTCTTTCAGGATCGCGCCTTCGGCAGGAAGATTTCCCGCCCCGGATTGTGGAACACCCGTCTGATCTGATCGTGTCCAAGGGGGAGCCTGCCACTCTGAACTGCAAGGCCGAGGGCAGACCGAATCCCACCGTTGAGTGGTACAAGGACGGGGAGCGGGTGGAGACGGACAAGGACGACGCCCGCTCTCACCGTATGCTGCTACCCAGCGGCTCCTTGTTCTTCCTGCGCATTGTCCACGGCCGGAGGAGCAAACCTGACGAGGGAAGCTACGTCTGTGTGGCCAGGAACTACCTGGGGGAGGCCGTCAGTCACAACGCCTCATTGGAGGTGGCCTGTGAGTACATTCCCTTTGATGTGCTGTTTACAGATATGGCTGCTCCTGGTTTTCCTTCATTGGCGTTCTCAATGGACATTCAACCCTGTTGTTATCGCCAATAAGATTGCCTCAAATATGGAGGCAGGAGTGTTTGGCTAAAGCATCGTTGGCTTATCATTAGGTCACAGCTTCAGGAAGGTTTGAGAAGGTGATGGGGATTGAAGATTTTGTGGTTGATGATGGCCTACTGGCATCTTGTTGATGAATTTTCATTAATCGGATAGGAGTCTTTGTCCTGTGTTTTCACTGTGCATTTATATTCTCCTTCGTGTGTCTTGGAGAAGATATTCTCAGGGGAGAGTTGATATTGCACTGTCCCTCTGTATACGTAAATATTTCTAGGCTACTCAGGAAGTGTGACTGTATTTGATGGATCTCTGTGAATGATCTCTGTGACTGTTTTTATAGGGTCTGCAGGACTATGACTTTTTATACAATCTCTGCCAAGTGTGTTTAAATTTACAAAGATCTCAGAGTGGTGATATATTTATGGGGAGTTTGACAGTATTTACATAGAGTGTGTCTGTGTTCACAGGAATCACTGAGTGATTCTGTATTTATGGAGTGCATCTGTATTTACAGGAATCTGACAGTGATGCTGTATTTGCAGGGAGTGTGTCTGTATTTACAGGAATCTCTTAATGATGCTGTATTTAAGGAATCTCTCAGTGATGCTGTATTTACAGGGAGTACCTTGGTATTTACAAGGATCTCTGAGTGGTTCTGTATTTACAGGGCGTTTGTGTTTACAAGAAGTACACTGTATTTACATTTTGATCTTGATTTGATTTATTATTTTCACGTGTACTGAAAAGTGAAAAGTATTGTTTTGCGTGCTATCCAGAAGAATCATACTTTACATAAGTATATCAGGGTAATGGAACAGAATGTAGAATATAGTGTTACTGCTACAGAGAAGGTGCAGAGAAAGATCAACTCTAATATATGAGAGTTCCGTTCATAAGTCTGCTAACAGCGAGGAAGAAGATGTTCTTAAATCCGTTGATACGTGCTTTCAACTTTTGTCACTTCTGCCTGATGAAAGAGGGCGGAAGAGAGTATAACTGAGATGGGAGGGGTCTTTGATTATGTTGGCTGCTTCCCAAGGCAGCGGGAAATGTAGACGGAGTCAGTGGAAGGGAGGCTGGTTTGCATGAACGACTGGGCTGTGTTCATAACTCTGTGATTTCTTGCGGTCTTGAGCAGAGCAGTAAACTCTGAGCGGTTCTGCATTTACAGGGGCTGAATGGCCTTCTCCTGTTGCTGAGGGGGTGACTTTTGCTCTGTCCTTGCTCTCACATTATATCTGCCCTCTGTTTCTCAGACCAAATGGCAGATCAATAAAATCACATATTCCAATCGCTTTCCTCTGCGCTGCTTCTTAGCTTCAGAACCCCCAGCCAAATCCGCTCACCCCCTTCAGCGTCCCCATGTGCCTGATACCCAAATGGATTTCCATTAATGTCTTTGATTGTGGTTTTCAATCAATGTAGAGTTCCGAGAGGGGCAACAGTTGGGTTTGATCTGAGGGTACAGCAGCTGGCATGAAGTCAGGCATGAACGTAAGACCAATAAGGGGAAATATTGGAGAAATGACAACAATAGGCCTCAACTCTGTAAATAGATAGAGGATATCAGAGGGACGAGTGAAACGTCAGGGAGTGCAATGTCAGAACCCTCTGCTTTTAAAGCAGCATGGCCCTCACCTGACACTGGCACCTCGATTGGTGTTATTACTATTTTCACGGTCACAGATGGTCAAATACTCTCTGTTTTCATGTGTGGATTGGAGGAGGGATTCTGCACATGAATTTCCATGCTCCCTGGCGTTCTCAGGAGGCCAGGGAGCGCAATGTCACTTTGCAATGTGGGTTGCTTGGAAGGATCGCCAGTTTGAGGACAGGGTGACTCTGTCCCAGGTGTGTGGACTACTGTTCCTCTCTCAGCAAACGTCTCCAAAAAGCAGGCTGAAACCAGCTCTTTCCCTCTCTGTGCTGGCCCTGGGATCTTGCTGTGCTGACAATGGCCCCCAACGTCCGAACAGCCAGCGTGCTTTGCTGCTTTCAGGGTGATGCATGTTGAGAGGCTTGCAAGAGATTGAAATCTCTTCAGAGAGGCAGTTTGCTTTGCCACTCCAGAGAGTTAAATCAAAAATAACAGTGAATTCATCATTGACATAACCCAAACCTTAATCCAACCTCAGCTTGTCTAACTCATGTGGAATTGACTTCATTGTACAATAATCGCAAAATAATGAAAAATATTCTAAAATAATTCTAGTTCAGAGTCATTAAATCTTTTAAAAGAGAAGACAGCTGGTTGCATCCTTCAGTTTTGCATAGATCACCATCAGTCACACACCTTCTTCCCATATCTCCCAATCCCACCTCCCTATGTTCTCACCAAATCCCTCAATCCCACCTCCCCACCTTCTCCCCATATTCCTCAATCTCATGTTCCCACCTTCTCTCCACATCCCTCAATTCCACCTACCCACCTTCTTTCCATATCCCTCAATCCCACCTACCCAAATAGGAACATTGGACTTAGGAGCAGAGTTAGGCTATTCTGCCCATGTAGCCTGCTCTGACATTAAATAAGGCCATGGCTGACCTGATTGTGGTTCAACCCATCTTTCATGTCTGTTCATATAATCCTTGATTCTCTTGTCTATGAAAATTCCATCTGTCACTGTTTCAATTAAATTCAATGAGGTAGCCAGCCTACTTTCTGGTGAAAGGAATTTCACGTTATAACTACCATCTGAGTGAGAAAAAATATCCCCCCCATCTCTATCTTAAAAGGGAGATCTTTTATTCTTTAACTGCGTCCCCTTGATCAAATCTGTCCTGCAAGAGGAAACATCCTCCTGGTATCCATCCTATCCAGTCCCCTCAAGATCTTATATGTTTCAATAAGATCACCTTCTATTTTTCTAAACTTCAGCCCAACATATCCTACAGTTCCTCACAGGATTGACCATTCATCCAAAGAAGGAATGAGTGAAGTGAACTTTCCTTGAACTGCCTCTAATGCAATTATATCTTTTTTTTCTCTCAAATAAAGAGATCTAAAATGTGCACAGTACTCCAGAAGTGGTCTCACCAAAGCCCTGTCCAGCTGGAATAAAGTTTCTCTCCTTTGATACTCCAATGTGTTTGCAGTAAACAATAACATTCCATTTTCCTTCCTCATCATTTGCTATATCTGCATACTGTACTAACTTTTTATGATTCATGGATCCAGATAATCAGACCCTTTTGTTAGCACCGAGTTCTGTAAACTCTCCCATCTAAATAATGGTCTGCTTTTCAATTCCTCCAGCCAAAGTGGACAAGTTCACGTATCATTATATTCCACCTGCCAATTTTTCTGTGCACTCAGTTAACCCATCTATGTCTCACCTTTCCCTGATATCCCTCTCTCGTGTCTCCAGAAACACATCTAACAGTCTCTTGATCACTTCTCCGCAGTCTGCTTTAATGTTGTTTCCCAACTAACCTAGGCCACAGATCTGTTACCCTCTGAGTGACCTCCCTTTTAGCTCTGAACTTGGTCCGTTTTAAATAAAAACAGAGAATGCTGTTAAAACAGTGTCACTCAGCATAGCTGGGGAAAGCACAGAGGTCAACATACATATCCCTGGGGTTTGAACCCTTCAACTCAGTGTATAATTTCTGCAGATCAGGTTTCCCTTTCTCAGCTCAGAAATCTTGTCAGGTTGCTTTTGCACATTGGGTGTACTGATGTGTTGATGCCTATCTCAGTGATGTTTCCCTTGGCATAGGGTTTTGCCTGGATGATATGAATTGTTTTTAATGTTGGGGGGGATGGTAGGGAGAGTGGATGAGGAGAGATCAATTCAGCAGGAGAGACTTGTTACAGTAAACCAGTGCCTTTCACAATCCCGGGACTGTCAAAGTGTGTTCCAGTCAATGAGGCACCCATGGAAGTGCAGTCACCATTCTAATTTCGCATAGGCGGCAACCAGTGTGAGCACAGCAAGATCCCAGAAACAGAGTGACCATGTGACCATGAGTACTTACCAACTCTCCTGAGAGGGCACACATCTGCATTATGTGAGTGGGCAAATGGATGCTAATGCAGGTAAGTATGAGGTTGTCCACTTTGTCAGGAAGAAGAGAGAAGCAGAGTATTATTTAAATGGATAAAAAGAGAGAGAGAGGGAGGCTGCAGAATGTTAGAGCATGGAGGCATCTGGGCAACCTTCAAAGATCAGCCTGCAGGTGCAGCAAGTAATTAGGAAGGCAGTTAGAATGTTGGCCTTGACTCCAGAGGGATGGAATATAAAAGTAGAAAAGCTTTGCTGTGACTATACGGGGCATTGGTGACACTGCACCTGGAGTACTGTGACAACAAGGTGCAGGGCTGGATGAACACAGCAGGCCAAGCAGCAGATTTTAACTCTACCTGGAGTACTGTGTCCAGTTTTGTTCACCACGGTGGCTCAGTGGTTAGCACTGCTGCCTCACAGCTCCAGGGACCCGGGTTCGATTTCACCCTCGGGCGACCCTCTGTGAGGAGTTTGCACATTCTCCCCGTGTCTGCGCGAGTTTCCTCCAGGTGCTCCGGTTTCCCCCCACTGTCCAAAGATGTGTAGGCTAGGTGGATTTGCCATGCTAAATTGTCTGTAGTGTTCAGGGATGTGGAGATTAGGTAGGTTATAGGCGGATTGGTCTGGGTTGGATGATGCAAGAGTTGGTGTGGACTTGTTGGGCCGAAGGGCCTGTTTCTACACTGTAGAGGTTCTATGATATTGAGGCAGGGATCTACTGGTATTGGAGGCCATTCAAAGAAGGTTCACCAGGCTGATTTCTGGAAGCATGGGTTTGTCTTATGAGGAAAAGTTGAGCAGTTTGGACCTGTGCTCATTAGAATTCAAGTGAGTGAGAGGTGGTCTTGTCGAAATACACTGTCGGGGCTGGACAGGATAATGGCTGAGAGCATGTCTCAGCTTTTGGAGGAACCTGGAACCAGAGGCACTGCTTAAAAAGAAATGGTCTCTCATTTAAGATTGACAAAGAAGAAATTTCTTCTTTCA